TCTGGTTTTATATGTGTGTGTGTGTTCTTTTTCCAAAAGCAGGCACTCAGAAGATACCTCCTGGGTCATCTGAAAGATGTTGTACGTCAGAGCAGTTAATGCTGCATATATAACAACCATGTCTCTGTTGCTGTGGTTTAGAAATCTAGGGGTTGTTTTTTTTATATTGAAGAAATTTCTTCGAGAACATGTACTTGTAGTTCTGCTTGCGTTTAACTAAGTTGTTACTTTTGTAACAACTTTATTCTTTAAATAATACAGTTTTTTTCCTTGTCATATGACAGCTAAAGAATTGGCAAATGGAATAGTGGAAGAATAATGCAACTGCTCTCCAAACACATTATTTTTGAAGAGCCTTTAGCATTTTATACAAAAAACCCAAACCACCAAAGAAAAAGGTGGTAAATAAGAGATTATGCAGGTTATATGAACAATCAATTTTTTCTCTAGCAGTAGTCAATAAACCATTGATACAGTTTTGCAGCAAGCTGACCTTGTTAAGATGGTTAAAAAAAAAGTTTGGTTTCTTGGTGTGTGTGCCACTCATTTAATCATGCTCTTGGAGCAAACAGGGCCTCTGCTTATATAAAGAAAGAACTTGGAACAGAAAGCTTTTTCAGAACAAAACGTGCAATTCCTAGTAGGAGTTGTTCTCTAAATCCTCTTCACTCTATAGACTTTCGGTCCACATTAGTGTGATTCTAACTGGTAACAAAAAACTTGGATGTTGGAGAAGGAAAGGGAGATTAGAGGTGAACCCCAAGCAATACTTTGTGCTTTTGGAAAATGCCCAATAAYTCTAGCCAGCAGGAGAGAACCTGGTGTGAAATTTGTACTTGATTAAGTAATTCTGCCTTCATCTCACTTCATGTTACTGCTYGGTTGAGGCCTTTTGTTCCACTTACTTGAGTTTTGGGATTTTTGATGTCAGGCTCTAAGGAAGTGTTATCAGTTGTAAAAGAGCACTATTTAAGTATATTAATCTCTTTGATAAGCACTTACATTAGAAATTTAATCTTAAGAAATATCTTATTAGGATGAATTTAATTCCTCTTTAAAGCTTTATTATTTWAAATAACAACATTTTATTTTCTGTCTGCTCCTACTGTTTTCTTAGTTTTATGAACTGATTCATTCTTAAACTCTATTTGTGATTTAAAAATAAAGAAAAAAAAAACAAAAAACAACACCCAACTTTTGATTTATCAGGCAGATCTGAATCTCAAATAAAAGCCACTGTGCATCTACAATGTGTACATCAGTACACAACACAAAGTTCCCATATGAAAGGATAACAGAAAAATGCCACCGATGGAAAATTTTCTGGTTTTTGTCTGTCATCTTATGAAGATGAAAGATGAGATGTCACACAGGCAGTCAGGGTTTACTGAAGTCCACACACAGATTCCAGTCCCTTCACTGGCTGGTGGGACAGGATCTGTTCCTTGTACTYCAGTCCAACCTTGCCATAAAGAAACAGATGAAACACAAATACGTCTTGAACTGCTGGAACATACTGGGTTTCAGCTGGTACAGAGCTTCATGAAAACATCTGAGGGCTCTCTGGTGTTTTCTGATTTGGTTTTCTGACTGGTATGGGGGAAAGGACGTAAAAGTGTTGAAGCAGGGACAAGCTGAGAAAAGAAGGTGGTGAGAATCAATAATGAACAGCAACTTCTAAAAGGGAGGTTCTGCTTTCCCATGCTTTAGGCTCTCTTTTAGTTGCTTCCCATTCCGTCTTTCAGACTGAGATTATTTTTCTGATGGTKATTTACCATCTAACTCTTTAGTCTGTCTTTGATGAGAGCTGGAACTGAATTGGCAAATGTAGCAGTGCTGTTTGGTGCTGCTGAGAGCAATGAAACTGTAAAATCGGATAATAAATAATACAAAGAAATGTGATGCCAGAGTTGTGTTCTGTGCCCTATTAACATCTCCTGCTAATAATTTTCAGGGGAAGGGTTGGATGATGGCTGCCTGTAGAAGACTGACTGTGGGAAACAGCTTTTCTCAAACCTTTGTAAACTCTTCCCTAGGCTTTTTCGAGGCTGCACCTTTGTGCATTAGCCCTCTTACTGTCAGTCTCAGGCGTGGATTTATCTGTAGAAAGTATAAAAGTTTATGATGCCCAAGAATTTATGCTATTTGAAGCCTATTTGCAGTTTTTGAGAATGCTTGGTATAAATGTATTTGGAGGGCTGGGATTCAAGACTTTTATATAAATTCAGATACAGATTTATTGCAACCAAAAACGTCTTTGAGCTGGGAATTGGTTCAAAGAATCATCTGTTTACTCATGTTTCTGAGATTTCATGGTTACTTTTTTTTGTCTTCACCCTAAAATGCATGTCCACACCTCTTTTGATTTTTCAAGATGGTCTTGAAAGAGCAGTCACCTTCTCAGATTCAAAGCTTTTGCTTTATTTCATCTTTTGTGACTGCTTTAGTTTTCCTGCTGTTCTCAAGACATATGGTGTGTATCCTGCAAGTGCTTTAAAGCAAGTTTTTCATGTTCCTTGCTTTTCAGAGCTTCTGGTACAATCTTCAGATACTTATTAATTTTATCAAGCAGTTCATTCGCAAGCAGGAGTTGGTCTTTTGTGCAAAGGCTTGATTGAAAGTCCTCAGCTGGAACTCAGTAAGATGGTTTCTCATAGAATTATGTMATATAGGAGGGGGAAAAAATTCACTAACCTTGTAGGCTTTGCTTTTCTGTGCTACCAGTTTTTTGAGCAGAACCTTTCATCACCCTTAGGACTACTTTGACWATTTCAAAGGCATTATTTATTCTCTTATTTCCTTTCTGTGTTCCTCAGACTGTTCTGGTTCATAATTTAGGAAAGAAATATTGTTATAATATCTTAATTAATTAGAACAGACCCATGTCCCTATGCACATGTATATCTGCACTGTATACACATGTAAGATTTTTAGCATCTCAGCGGTGGAGTATCTCTGTGGGACATTTTGAGTTATATTTTCAAGTTGTAAAGCTGTTTTATCCAAAAACCACCTGTAAGGTGCCAAGAGGGTGTTTGGGAGCAGARGTCACTGCAGTTCCTGTTGAGCAACAGTGACAAAAGTCTTCCCCAGGATGAAATTGTTTGAATATTTTCCTTCTTATTTATTTGATTTAGATCAGCAGAGTATTACCTACATGTGAAACTGATTTATTGTTCTAAGTTATGAATAAAACCTGTTTTGAAGGCTTGGTCTTAAATTATAAAAGCAGTGATCAAAATTTTATCMGCTTTACTACTGAACTGTAGAAATGTTTAGATAAACCTGAAGGAGCCCTCCTGGTCCCTAGTGTTAATGCTTTTGTGGTAATGATCCTGAAGTAATAATAGTTAAAGCCTAGCAGAGAACTTGCAATAGGAAAACAAATGTCAACAATTATGAAAGTCTTTACATTTTGACCCTATGTTTGAAGTATTGCATAACTGTAATAACACMTCATGAATAGCATGGAGGAATAGAAATCATATGAGGTGTCTGTATGATATGTTGGATTAGAGATAGCCACAGAGCAAAGTGACAATGTCATTTTGTTCCTCTGAAATATGTTAATCAGGTTATGGATAAAAGGATTTAAAATGTCATTCTGAGCTATTTGTAACTGTTTGAGTTCAGTGGGAGTCACTTTTACAGAAAACATGCAGTTACATACTGTAAAAGATSGGTTTGTGTTTTCTTTTGTGCTGTGTTTCAAAGAGAATAGGACAGATGGAAATTTGCTTTTGAGACAACTCAGCCTGTAAACCTYGAGTATTGTGAAAGGGTGTGTGTTATTAAAAGAATTTAGCATTGAGGGATTTTATTTTCAGTATAAAGTTGCATTAGGTTAATATTTTTTTATTGTCCTCCTAGAGATCAAAGTATTACTAYAGTAAATAATCCTCTTTGTCGAACATTTCTAAATATAGAGCACTGGCTTGCATGCTGTGTTCCTTACCTCAGGAGAAACCAAGAATTGATTGTGGCTGGCTGCCAAGGGGACAGCAGTTTGTCTTTCCGTGTGGGAAAAGCATCTTTTGCTGGCACAAAATGGGATTACACCATTGCCAGGAGCCAGCTCCACCTTTGCCATTATACCATTGCCAAGAGTCAGCTCCGGCTCCTTAATTATTGCTTTTGTGTGTAACAATTTATCCTGCGTGGAGAATGTGTCCTTTCTTAAAACCATTCAGTGAAATCCTGTGACTCCTGTACTGTGTCAAGGTGTCAAGGTTTCCTCCCAGGACAAGCAAGTGTGGTGTTTTTGTTTGTGTGAGGTTGYTGTGTCTTTGTACCCATGGGGTGTGAATGTGTTCATGTTCCCACAGGGACAGCTAAACTGGCACCTTGGGAATGAGGATGGAATTATTCTTCAGCTGTTGTTGGCTGTGCTGATGTTGTCAACAAAATCTACTTAGAAGCACAACCAACCAAGCAGAGATAGCAGACCACTGAAAAGACGTGTATTAGTGAATACAGACCACTGAAAATACATGTATTAGTGTGTAGTTTCTCACAAAATAATGCTAGTTCTTTGTCAGTTGTTTTTCTTCTCAGGTATGCTGCAACAAACGCATAGAATCAGTGGAAAAAATTTTATAGGGAGGAATTAGATGAAATGTCACATAATAAGGGTATTTAATGTGAAAGTGAATTTGTTTTAATGTAACAGTCTGCTACTATTTTTATTGCAGAGGATAATGTGAAAACATAAATAGACTTTGGAGTTCAAGCCAAATTTGCCTTGATATTAAAAAGAAGACATTTTGTCTGGCCAAGTGAGTCTTGTGTGGCTTTTAAAAAATATCTGTAGCTTTCAGGGTACTTGGGATGCACAATTGTTAAGAAAAGGCACTTAGGTAAATCAATATGTATTTTACCTTTTCTGTGGGTGTTGTTTAACTGCTGGTTTGAGATAACCATAAGGTGGAAGAGCTCAGTGGGCTGTCTCRTGAACTGTTCTTAATGAGCATGATGTTATTTTCCCCTCTTGTTTTTCCTAGACTGTTCAATTAACCCCCAGACGATGGCTCAACCTGCAGGAGTACCAAAGCAAAAAAATAATGGCAGACCATGGGGTTACAGTTCAGAGATTCTTTGTAGCTGATTCTGCAAATGATGCCCTGGAGGCTGCTCAGAGACTGAGTAAGTTGACTGATAATGGGAGGAATCTGCTTCACTAGGTAGCAATCTGCAAAATAAATTGTTTTCTAATAAGTTGTAYGCAGTCCTTAAATTCTTGCTTACAGAAAAGCTTTGATATTTTATCCAGATCATAAATATAGGCTTAATTTTATATGTGAACAAGTTTATAACAGCAATACTTGGAACYTCATTTTTCAAATGTTTTGGATGCAGCATGTAACATGAATTCTTTAATTAACTTAATAATTCAGGATGTCATGAATAGTTGCTGAGAAAAAGCTTTTTTTTGTATACTTGATATAATTTAAGGAACTGAAATAAATTAACTTGTATAAAAAAGGCCATTTTCAAACAAAATTTTGCTCTATTAAAAAGCAAAGGAAGGAGAAGACTGTGGACTTTTCATTTTAAATGATAGTTAGATCCTATTTGGGCACAGTCTGCTTTAGCTGATTCTGCTTTGAGCTAWTGGGTTGGACTAGACAACCTCCAGAGGTTCTTGCAGTCTCAACTGTTGTGTGATTCTATGAAGAAATAAAATGTGTGAGATGATGTTATACATGTGTATTTGTTGATGTATGTGTCCATATGAAGAAATAAAAAAGGTAAGTAAAGTTACCATCACAAAAGGACGTGACAGTGCCTTGGAGAGAAGATGCTGCTTCTGGAACTTTATCTTGGTTCTCTGACAACATCCTCATTTTACTGTGGTGAGCATAAGATAATTATGTTAGTAAGAAGTGAATTTATGTAATAGCTTTTTGCTCAGAAAGAGAGTGTTGAAGTACTCTGTCAATCTGTGCTAACTCTGAAATATTTTTTCTACCTTTTTAAGTTGAGTAGTTTGCACTGTTTTCCTCTTTTCATTTAGCTTTTGTTAATATATCAAACATCAAAATGCCAKAGGCCAGACATCATTGTAGTCTAATTGTGCAGTAACAGGAAGGTATTTCGGTTTATGCTTTACATAATGCACAGGCCACTTGGTTAAATGCATTTCAGTTTTGCACAGAGGAAGGTAAATTAACACAACTGACTCATATCCAAGATCTCATCAGAGCTCAGGTAGCTGAGTAGCATTAGCATAATGGCTTGTTCAATCTCTAGAACTTCATTAAGGTTACACATTTTTCAGCCATCAAAGCCTTTTGATGACAGTCCGTATATTTGAAAATATATTTGAAACAAAAAATGAAATGCAACTGTTATGGTCATACAGCATTACAAAATGGAAAAGTCGGACACAAAGCAAAGCACATAAAATTGGAATGTTTCCTCRTGTCTGGATGTCTGAGAAAATCAAGAAATGTTAACTGAAGCTGTGGCAGGTTTATCACCAATCTTACAGCACTTAAACTCTCCTCTTCGTGATTGAACTCATAAATGGATTGGTCTGTCCAATAACTATTGCTGYTCTTGATCTCTGTGACTATTTGGAGAAATAAATTACTCCATTAAATGCAGTGAACCTCATCAGTTTTATAATGTTGAATTTATTTTAAATAACCTCTGTAGCTAGCTTTGCAAATCACAGAAATACTGGTTAACAAACAAACAAACAAAACAGCGTTTAAAGGATCAAAAGTAAAATCTAAAACCGAAAAATCATTTGCCAATGAAACTTTATCAGTTAAATTGTATTTTAATTGTGTGGGCTTTTTAGCCCTTCAGAAAGTTAAGTCWGTRGTACCTTTCTTCATTTGATGTAGCTGCATTCAGCCATGCTGCACTGCTGAGCATGAAAGAATTGTGGTTTATGGTGTGAAATTTATTTCATGTTAGAATGACTGACACTTCATTGATCTGCTTAATAATTAACAACATCCTCGTAATCATTCTGATGGTGTGCTGTCCTTGTGCTTCTAACATGCACTTTGAAAACTAAGAACCAAGAACATCAGTTTCGCTACTGTGGTCATTGTTGTTCCAAGATTTTCCCTGGATTTATCTTCTTTATGATTCCTCAGATTAATATTGTCTCTGTCACTCAGKTTTATCTGCACAATTTGCATTGAATAGGCAACCACACAAAGTAAAAAGATACAGGAAAACAGGAAACTTCAGCCTACAAAGTAAAATAACTTTGGGGTWATTAATAAAGTTTGGGGATGTTGTTGATGGACAGGCACTCTGCAGTAAAATACGGGCAGAGGCCARCTGCCCCTGCCAAGTCCTGCTCAAAAATCCAATATTTTAAACACTCAGTGCCACATTGCAGCTGTCCGTAACTTTTGCTTCTTCAAACAAGAAAAGATGCTTGTCATCATATTTTAAGGATAAAAATAGGATAGAACTCTCAAAACTTGAAAGTCAAAGGTTCGGTATTTTTCTTGTGAAATTCCTTCTATAGCACACATGAGTACAGGAGAAACAAGAATTTTCCTTTATGATCCTACAGCATTACATCACTCATACGGGTTTTGGTGTGTGATAAAGGGGTACAGATAAGGGGATAGAAATTTCTGCTGTGGAAGTCTGCATAAAGTCTGGAATTCATCATTTAATTTCACAATTTCACCAACTATTTTRTGCTTGACAGAGCTGTCTTTACTGCTGCAGGGCCTGTGCTCACCAGTTTTGCTRTTGTTGGATTTCCTGTTGATGCAATGGAAAGAGATGAGATTTGATAATTTTTGCTGCTGTCTTCACTTGTCTGGAAGGTGTTAATGTCTTCTTGAAAGGTTTTGCCTTTATCCAGTATCAGCAGTTTTGTTACACTTTGCTCGTTTCCTCTGTTTCTCTCTATTTTTATTAATATGTACACTGAATGTTAATTCTCTCAAAGACTTTCAAAACTTACTAACTGCACAAAAGGCAGTCTACAAGGAATTTTTAATGGAATTAAAGGATTGATTTTTTTTCCCCTTCTAAGATAAGAATGGCAGATGTGAAGAAAATGAACATGACATCACTAATATTGACTTCAAAAGAAGTTGTGCGCAATAAAGAATACAGAATTAAGCCCCAAGGAATTAATTGTCTTCCATGTGCTAAGCAATTTCCAGGTGTAACTCTTGTAGAGAAGGCARTATTTACAGACTGCCAAGAAATTCAGTCACTGTAGTTTTCTGATTTATGCTAAAATTCCTTAGTTTTCAAGAAAGGAAAGAAAAAGATGCTGTGCTGTTTTCCTGCACCGTATGGTGTTGCTTGATCTGCTCTCTGAAGAAACTCAATCTGTAAACAAATTCTTACGATTCCAGTGCATTTAATAGGAAAAAAGTGAAATATTTGGGAGCTGAGTTTTTGCCTGAAATATAAGCTCATCTGGCTGTTTTTGTATTAACTCACAAGTTTTCTGATCTAATTCTCACTTAATTTAGGGCTTGTTTAGCTAGAGAAGGCATTTCCTTATTTGCTGTTTCTTTTCCTTGTACTGTTGCCCAAATACCTAACGAAATAATCCTTTTTTATTATTTGTATGTGATACACTGAGGGTGGGTGATTTTCACTGCCTGCTCTGAGCATCATTTCAGAGCCTTCATTTGCTCTGGACTCCTCCAGCAGAAGCCCTCAASTCTCGTTCTCTGCTCTTTGTGCTCTGCCTGATGGAGAAGTTATTAAGGGGCCCATCATGTCAAACTAGGAGGTGGAAAAAGCTGAGAGGGGTTGTAATTATGCTCRAGGGGGTTGCTGTGCACTGTCATTTGGCTCTTTCAATCAGTAGAGGACTTAGAGGTGGCTGGCACCGCTGACAATCCTAAATCGATGCTGGGAACTTGGCATGTGTTTTCTTTGTCTGAATTCTAACAAAAGCAATAGAATGCTGCCTGTTACCACTTAGAGTGTTTCATTACATTTAGGAATCAGTCAGGTGCAGTGTTCACACTCTATCAYGGAGAAATGCAGTTCAATTGAGTGCAAGGTTTTTATTCACTCTTCTTTAAAAAAAATAAAACGAAATATAGCCTCTGCGTGTCCTATTTCTATTGCTTATGCATGAGGGAACTCATAAAATTCRGCTTTGGACTGAAGGCATGCTTTTTATATCAGCCTGGAGAGGTAAACATGTATTTTATAAAGAACAGAAAGGGTTTATTGAAGCATCTTTTCATGAGGTCATTTACCTGTCACCTATTATTCACTATTTTTTAGAATATTGAAAGAGTTCTTGGTCATGTGAGCACCAGTCTCCTTCCTATCTCATCTCCCAAAGTTTTTTCCTTCCCATGGCTTTTTAATTTAAAGGGAGGGCTGCATTTTTAGATGCTGTTTTAGATCCCTTATCTGAAAATTCACCTCTCTAGTACTAGTTGTGAAAACCACTTGAAAGCAATTTATGTWTAGAAGGGATCCACAATTGACCTTTAGGTTGGCAGCATCCTTTATGTGTAGATTATGAAGAATTTGTTGGTGATAATGCTGTCTGCATTTAATCTAAGCTTTTATGCTGGGAAAATTAAAAACATCCTTGAACCTGATGTTTCTTAGGATATTTGAAACGTGAATTCAGGTTCTTTTTTGTCATAGCAGGAAGAGCTTTTCTATGAGTATCCTGTACAGAGTGGGCCTCTGTATAAAGTTTTATTTGAGCAGCTTGGCTACTTAGCTGATCTTTCTTTATTGTCATCGTGGGGTTTGCTTATGTGATTTAATTTCCTCTCTGTTTCTCTCCATCAAGATAGGTAGAAAAATTGCTTCTTTCAGCATTTCTGCGATTTCCATAATTCTTTCTATTGTATTCTTCACTGTGTAGTAATAATTTTTCACCTGTGCATAATGAATTTTTTCCCAAAAACCCTCATGTACTTAATGGTTATAACTAGTTATTTTTTTAAAGCCACTTGGGTTGTGCTTTTCTGCATATGTTGGAAAAATCRTGTGTTGCTGCAATAGCATTCCAGGGAACTGTACACAGAGAAGTTGCTCGCTGGTGAGGAACAGCTCTCCCATAAGTCCTCTTATTTTCTCTGACAGCTTTTATTAAAGTTCCTCAGACTTAAATTATAGCTTTCTGAAACTGTTCTTTCAGGCAAAATAATGCTGTAAGTTATTGACTA